TACCATGGGGCTGGGTCTCCTTTGCCCAAGGTATGGAGAGCCCTTTGCTCCCTGGCAAGCTCATAGGATTGAAAACTTGCTCTGCAGAGCTTTAGGCAGCAGTGACTAACTTCATAGGATTGCTCACAAAGTCTGTCCTGGATGCAGCTTTGCTGCTTTTATTTGTCACCCTGAAATGCTCTGCACATGCTCAGCTCACTGTGGCCTTTGGAGGAGGCTGCCGTGGCCGAGTCCTGGGGACATCCCAAGCCCAAATGGTGAATTGAGATACAGTTGGTAGAAATTCAGGCTGGCAATGTAGGTGTTAGCGTGAGTGTTTTTCCTGGGAAGCTATTTGCATCCTTAAATAAATGAAATTAGTTTTGAGCAGGGGGATACCTCTGCATGACGGATACTGTCTTCCTGTATTCAGATCTTTGCTGTAAGTATGCTCGCCGAGCCAGGATGTGATCTGAGCCTCCTCTTCTCTCCGTCCTTGTGCGTCCTGCTGGTGCCTGTTCCTTCCCTGCAGATGATTTGCTCTCTGGTGTGTGGGAATGATACCCTGGGGACCTGTAGGTACCAGTGCGACTTCCCTACACAATTCACTTAACCTTCATCTATTACCTCAACAGGAGGGGTTTGCATTTCAATTAAATATCCTTTGGGTAAAACACCACTGGGTGTTTTCAAGTGTGGTGCATTTCAGATGTGTATCTAATCTGGCTGAAGCTTTCCTGAAAAGCTTTCTGTAGCCACAGTTGAAATCATTTTAGGCCAGAAACATGTGTTGAGGGTTTCTTTTTCTCCCAGCCAGGGGTGGCTTGTGTCACATACATATGCAGAGAGCGGGTGTTTGCCAGCGCACACATTTGGATTGCTGCTTGGCATTGGCTTTGCGGGACTGTGGCTGGCCCAGCTGTGTTACTAGGGGAGAGCTCTGCACTGGCTTGGGCTTCCTAAGCTGACTTCCAACAAACTTGGTGTCACTGGGTATTTTTTGGGGTGGCTCTCACTAAGGGAAGAGAAAGAGTCATTTTGCTTCTTTCAGCAGCTCCTAGCAATGCAGCCCAGCCCAGATTAGCTCATGAAACCACAGCAGAAAACATGCTGTTGTGAAGGTGTCCAGTCAAACTGAGCAGGGCTCGTCTTTGGTCTCTACCAGGTGCTGCAAGAGCTCTCTCATCTGCCAGCTTGGGCAGTTCTGGCAGCCTCCAGTGGCTAAGCCATGCATGACCATGGCTCTGCCACGCAGTGGTGCTGGGATGTCTTCTAGCTGGGTGAGTGGAACAAGCAGAGGCATTTTGTTCTTCGTTCAGTACAGGTGGTGATGTCTGTTGGCTTTATAAAGGTTTTACCCAAACTCTGGCATAATGGCATCCCACACAGACAGCCCTCTGCTTGGACAGCTTTCTTGAGCCTCTGTCCCAAAAGCCCAGATGAGGTGAAGGGGATGCATGAGCCCTGCTGACTGCAACCATTTCCTGGACCAGGGCTGTACAACTTTTATGGGCAAGTGCAGCGCTTCCCATCTCCGAACACTGGGCCCTGGTGCTCTGTGTTTAGAGTACTGTGAAAAGCTGTGTCCAGCTCTGGGCTTCTGATGTCTTCTACCCCAAAATGTCTGGACCAAATCTAGCTGCTACTGGTCTTTCCTTGCAGCCCAAATCTGATACATGGTTAGGACAATGGTTTCCAGCATGTGCAGCTAGTCCATCCATGGCATCTTGGATGCTATTGTCAAAACAAAACACAAGTTTATGCAATAAGCACTTTAACACTTATTTATCCCAGTTTGCTTTGGCACTTGGGCTCATGAGACGTTCATCACAGGGATCTCGCTTGAGCTGAAATGGTTGTGTCTGTTTCCCCGGGATGGAAGATCAGGACATAAATAGTTTCTCCTGTTTCACTGGGGAGCTGAATCCCACTGTTTCCTGACACCTTGTAAAATCCCTGCTTCCCATGTGGAGCTTGTGACCAGCCGTCATCATGTCCCCTGTCCAGAGAGCCATGTCCTGCCTGGACATGGGGGATGCTGAGGCAGCAGGATCCATGTGATGAGGCTGCTGAAGTTCTCAGCTGACCAGCACTGAGTGAAATGCAATTGTGCTGGCAGTGATGGGGCGAAAGCAGTTCTGCTGCTGTTTAGTGTTATACTGCTAATGCTGATGATTTAATGCTAGAAGCACACCTAATTTAAAATATAATGTCTTAATACCGTAATGGCCTACACCTTCAGAGGGAGGTGCCTCATCACTAACTCCAGCACTAGCATGACTGGTAGACTGTGAAAGGTTTTGGGATGCTGAGACCCCAAGAGGAGAACCAGTCCAGCTCCTTCATGAGCTCTCCTAATGCACACTGCTGCCTTGCACGCATTTTGTACCATACAGGTATGGTTTGATGGACACATGCCTTGGTGCCCTGAAGCATATCTGTGGAAAAGGACAGACCCAGCTCTTGTAGGTTCAAACCTGAGTGGATTTGACTGTCCTGTTCCCCTTTGCTCCTGCCTGTCTGTCCCAGCAGCCTGTTTTGGCATGAGCTCAGCTCCTGATACTCTGGAGCTGTTGTGCTGTTGAGCGCATAGCCGTGTTTGCTACCCTGCTGAGTGCTCTTGGTGAGACAGATCCGATGTGCGGGGAGCTAGATGTGTGTACCTAGGTAAGAACACATGTTCTCACACATTGTGTCGCCCTGGGGCATGTGTTCATCTTGTGGTGTCGATGAGACAACTGTCACAGACTGATGGATAGTCCCTACCTTTTGGGGAGGTGCACGGTAGCTGACGATGGAAACTTCACTGGACAGGCTGACCCTTGGAGCACAGTATGCTGATGGAGCTTAGCTCAATATGAGACCCAGGAGACAGGACTTCAGGCACTGTCTGCAGCTCTGTCATTTAGGCCACAGGGGTCAGTCTGTGGCTGCTTCTGGTGGCCTTAAATGCTGTGAGTGCAGTTGACAAGTGACGTCCACGCAGGAGCTGTGGGACCTAACCTGGCTGGGGACAGTCCCCTGGCAATGTTGCCTGCACACCAAGGTCAGTGGCACAATTGGGTGCTGAAGGCAGAAGGCCAGGCTGCAATGAGGTCCACATCCTAGACCCTAGTCGTTGTGCAGTGCTGTTCCTGTGACCTCCCAATTCCTTGCTGCCCCCTTCCCGGTGGCTTCTTTGGGGTGGCTGAAAATTAGAATTGAACCCACAGTCCCATCTTGCAAAGGCTGCAGGCAGGAAAGACCTCTGGGCTCTGGACTACTACCTTGTCTCCCCCAGTGTCTTGGGGAAGAGGCTTCTGTGGTTTTCACAGTGGGAGGACTTCGTTGCTCTCCCTGTCTGGACAGAGGGTGTTAGCAGACACAGGCCGAGGTGCTCCTGCTCCTGGCTGACATGTGCTTGGAGCTGGGAGACTGGAGCCTCATCCCGGGGAGCAGCAGTGCTGGATGAGTGCCTGTGTCTATGCCTCGCTGTCGCTGTGAGCGGGAGAGCTCAGGCTAGCCGTGCTGGAAATGTGTGGCTGGCTCTGGGGTGCCCATGAGTGGCTGCAGGCAGGAGAAGCTTTGCTTGGCGCTTGCACCACGCAGCAGGCTCCAAAGGCTTTCCAACATGGAGAGGGCTCTTCAGGCTTTCTGGAATGTGATGATCTAGATGCCCCCTTCAAAACATCCCCTTCAGAATAGGATCCCTTACCCTTAGCTCTGGATGACTGAGCTGTCCTGTCAAATTGTGTCCCTTTACCAGGCTTTTGTACAAAGAGCAGGCTGAGCCTCCAAAGAGGAAGTGCCCTTCAGCTGGGCTTGGATCCTGTTCATGTAACTTGTCCAAGCAACCACGTTCTGAAGCCATTTTCCTTGCAGTGGTGGGAACGCACCGTTTTGACCACTTTCTTGTTTGCCTTCATGAGAGATTGCTTCTAAGATGCTCAAAATCTGCCTGGGTTGGCCTTTTTCCCTGCAGAGCATGGTGCTGGCAACAGAGCCCAACAGCAATCGGCGTGTGCTGAATTGCCCTTTGTCTGCTTTCCTTTCTGTGGCCAGCTGGTAACCGGAGCAGAGCGCCTGCATGGCTGGCTGCGGCCAGGCAGCAGCCAGATTTAGGAATAAGCTAGCACGGTCCCTCAGCAGCCACGTCAGGCAATGCCCAGGGAAGCGCTGGCTGCTCTGTCCCCGGGACCCTGAGCTTTTGGGTGGGGGTTAGTGTATGGAGGAGGATTCTTTGGCTTTTCCACCACTGCAGAGAGATGCTTCCAGCCCTCCAGAGCCACCCCACGGCTGCTATCAGACCCTGGGGTCAACCATTACAGTTTCTTGTTTCTGCTCCTACTTGCAAGTGGGCTGAATCCCCAGCACAAGCTTGGGGTGTCACTGCTGCATCCTCCTGTGCTGTGCTCCGGCAGTTCTTGTTCCAGACCAGTTTTCTTCTGGTAATTTCTGAGGATGTAGAGGTGAGATGGAGACATGATCCCAAGGAGAGAAGCTTTGAGGAAAGCCTGTAAACAGTCTGCGGGCGCTTCTGATCTGGGGCAGTCTTGATGCATGGGTGGGACTTAGGACGTGTCCCAAAAGCAAGGACAAGAGGAGCTCAAAGAAACATCTGAACTGCTGAGGAAGCTGCTTGCTCTCCAATGCTTTGGTGACTGACTTCCCAGCCCGTACACTGCGAGACACCTCTCTGTGCAGGCTGAAAGCGCGGCACTCGGCAGCGGGTCACAAGAGCTCCCTCCAAACGCCCCTCGCCCCAGGGAGCAGAGGGCTCTCCTTGGCTTGTGGCAAGCTCAGGCAGCCCTGTTGCAGTGATTGCTGGAGAGACAGCCTTAAAGCAGCTGTGCTGGAATCTGAGCACAGATCTGTCTAAACTTCCCCATCGGGGATTGTTTTTGGCAGATGTACTTTGGGGTATGTTTCTCCTAACATGGCGGTTTCGGCTGCCTGGAGACCCTTGAGAACAGCACGTGCTTACCTACTCCCTTCATCCCATCCCCGTGCTCTATATGTGCCCTCCTTTTTCTGTCTTGCAGCTGTGGGGACTCGGGCAGTGATCCTTTTCACCAAGGCGCCGTACTCTCAGGATGCCCTGCATGGCCGCAGCGCCATCCTCCGCTGTGAGGTGAAGGAGCCAGCGGATGTGGAGTTTGAATGGCTGCAGAATGGGCTCCCCGTTCAGGACACGGAGCAGCGCTTCAAGGAAGGCAGCAACCTCCAGTTTGCTGCTGTCGATCGGCACCGGGATGCCGGGGACTTCCAGTGTGTAGCGAGGAACTTGCTCACCGGGGAGGAGGCCCGCACAGCCAATGCATCTTTCAATATCAAGTGTGAGTGTGGGGTGAGGGCAGCCAGGCACATGCCGCAGCCTGGTGCTGCCCACCGTGGACAGGGCAAAGCACTCTCTTGGGAGGGCCCGAGACTGGAAACAGCTTTGCCATGCTGCCTGCTAATGCATGTGGTCAGACAGGGATCAGACAGCATGAACTGTGCGAGTAGGATTCCTCTCCAGCTACCATGTCCTCCGTGCCCCCTGGGCCGCTTGTAACCTCTGATGTCCCCAAGGCTGTCAGAGATGCTTTCTCCTGCCGCCTTCCCCATCTGTATATATGAAACGGGGATGTTACTGCACCAAGTGTGTCCTAAGCACTGCAGACCCTTTCAGAGCCCCCTCAGAGAACAGCTACGCAGGGCAAAGTGGGGCATTTGCAGGGTGGGTGTCCCTTTACTCCATGTTGGCTTGAGGGCTCATGCGTCCCTAAGCATGCTTGTGCCCTTCCTGCCCGCTCCGGTTATTACGGAGTCGGCATCCACCTGGGCTCTGTAGGTTTGGAGAGTCAGCTGTGTTGATATTCTTCGATCCCACAGGGATTGAGACAGGCAGTGTGGTGCTGAAGCAGCCGGCCAGCGTAGCTGAGATCCAGCCCTCCTCCACAGTGGTGCTGCGGTGTCACATCGACGGCCACCCGCGGTAAGGGTTGCCTCCCGAGGAGTGGACCCTGCCAGGGGTCCCCCTGCACCTTCGCTGCGTGCTCTTCCCCTCTCTCTCTGTCTCTCTCTCCTCTCTCCTGCGAGGATTCAGTAGAGTCTAGGGAAGGCGAAAGGCAGGATTGAGCCTGTGGCTGAGCACCGGCGGAGAAGGCAAACGGCTTCCTCAGAGCCGCGTAGCAAGGAGCACAGTAAGGACGGGCTGTCACAGTCCGGTCGCTGAGCTGCTTGGTGTGCTGCGGTCACTCTCCGTTGCTTTCCAGTCATGTCCCGTCCACTTGGCTGCATGTCTCATGGCTTCGTGTCTGTGTTGGGGCCAGCAGTGGGGACGGAGAGCCAGGGAAATGGGCCATCTCTGGGCTGTCTTCTCCGCACACGTGCTCTCTGGGGAGCCCTGCCGGTGCCCTGCACCCGGTCACCCTCTTGCCCCTGTCTTGCAGCCCCACGTGGCAGTGGTTTCGGGACGGTAGCCCCCTCCCCGATGGCCGCAGCACCTATTCTGTCAGCAACAAGGAGCGAACACTGACCCTGCAGAACGCCAGCCCCGACGACAACGGTCTCTACTACTGCTGTGCCCGCAGTGCTGTCGGCTTCGTTTGCAGCCAGAACAACTTCACGCTGAATATCATTGGTGAGTTGTGTCCCAGCTGCTCGGGGCTGGGGGCTTGGCTGTTTTACTGCTCTGCTAAGAGCCTCCCCTCTGCTGCAGGGCAGGGGGCCAGGCTGCAGGGGAAGCGTCAGGCTGCTGTGACTTTCCCTGTGCAAAGCCTCTGGCCAGAGACAGGCCTGACACGCCTGGCCGGGTTTGAACCCTACCCTGTCTACAGGTGTTAATTTGCCCCTGCATCTTTCTGGAGCAGGTCTATGCTGTCGTCTTCTGGTTCTGGAGCACCAGGGTCCTCCCCTCCTTCAACAAAGTTTGGACCCTGGAGGCTGTAGGTGCTGCTGGTTTTGCTAATACCAGTGCCACTGCGGTGCCCTGTGGGTGAGACGCCCCGTTGGCCTTTGGAGGCAAGGCCCTGGGGGGGCAGGAGATGTTGACCTTAGGGAGGTATTTGGAATTGGAAAAGGGGATTTGCAGTCCAGTGACAGGTTTGATCTGTTTGCTAGGAACCCAGGGTTGGTCAGGGCATTGCTGGAAGCAGAAGGGGCTTTCCCCAGAGCAGCTACCGCATGCAGTCCTGGGCTCTGGCTGCGTAACTGCAGCCGTGCCGGCATGTCTGCCTCCGTCGGGCCCGCAGTGTGCTCACAGGCTGTGCCCAGCTCTTTATCGAGTTTCCCCCAGAGCACTGGTGAAGGGACACCACAGGCCGCTCTGCTCTTCTCACCCTCCTGTGGTCTCTGCCATTGCAGATGAAAGCTTTCCTCAGGCGGTCATCGTCCCGCAGGACCTCATCGTGACCAAGAACGAAGAGGCCATGTTTGACTGCCAGTTTACAGCCGTGCCCCCGCCCACGCAGGAGTGGCTCTTTGAAGACAGCCCCATCACCAACAGATCCAAGTAATAGGGACCCCGGTGATGTGGGCAGGGCTGGGAGGAGAGGGGGCACCATGTTCCAGAAGCAACAGAGAGAGGCCAAACCCTGGCCGTGCCCGAGGGCAAGCATTCAACATCAGGCTGGCCATTGGGATTGGTTTCTCAGCTTGGTTGGCTTGGGTTTAGCAGGGCCTTGGTACTTGTGCATGGCCTTTATCTGCATAGGTCTCAGCAAGCAGTTTGTCCTCAAATGAGTCTGTGGGGCTGCCAGTCTTAGATGCCCACACATGATGATCCCCAGAGTTAGGGATGTCTCAGAGCCCCAGACGTCCTTTTGTGGAGCCAGGGACAGCTCAAGCCCCGGACACCTACTTAGGACAATTCCCAGAATCAGGGATGTGTCCCAGTACCAGATGCCCGCAGATGGTGGTCGCCAGACTCAGGGACACCTCCCAGCCCCCAACATCTGCACAGCAACCACTGGGTCCATCACTGTCTTGCACCTCCAGACACCAGTGCATGGCGATCCCCAGAGCCAGGAATATTTCTGAGCCCCAGACACCTATGCATGGGGCAGTCCCCAGAGCTGGGGACATCTCTCAGCCCAGGCTGCCTGTGGACGGTGATCCTGGAGCCCGGGATGTCTCAGCCGGGCTGTGCAAGGCAAGCGGTGCTATCTGGGTGCCGGGTGCCCAGTGGCCTGGCAGCTCCCGGGCGCCACCTTGTGCCCCCTGCCCCCTTTCCAGCTGTGCCAGCTTTCAGAGCTGGCCTGGTGTGGTGATGCATCTTTTGGTGGGAGCCAGCTCTTCTCCAAGAAGGAGACTCCTATTAGCTCATTGCCTCCATGAAGCATGTGTCCCACCATCTCCTCGTTTACATGTGCCGCTCCCCCCGTGCTGTGAAGCTTTGTCTTGGCGCAGAGTCTCCCTCTTGGTTTCATGGGCTCATGTAGGACATCACGGGGCTGGGGCTCTGGCCCATGTCCTGCAGAGATGCCCACTGAGCCCTGCCTCTCCCCACGTGCCCAGGACCACCGTGTTCGCCAATGGCTCCCTGCTGATCACCCAGGTGAAGGCTCGCAGCACCGGTGTCTATAAGTGCGTTGGCCATGGGCAGAGGGGGAAAGCTCTTGTGCTGAAGGCGACTCTGCGGCTAGCAGGTGAGGTCCTGGGGCTGGTGGCAGGGTGGGCAGTGGGTCCCAGAGTTGCAGTGTCACTCTGGAGCTATGTGACAATGTAGCGATGGGTCAGTACATGGAGAACTGCTTGGTTTATCTGTGAAATGGCTCAGCCTTGCTGCCTGGATGAGGGGAGCAGTAATAGCTTGTGTGCTTTCTCCTTCGGCTGGTGCCTTCCCATGGGGATGGTGATGCTGGTAGGTTGGCTACCCATTCCTGCCCTGTTTGAGCCCTGCTGTCTATTGCTCCTCCCAGAGATTGAAGAAATGGCACCCTTCTCCCCAGAGGTGTTGAAGGTGAACCAGGGGCACCGTGTGTCCTGCCCTGCCCCACGAGGCATACCCACGCCCCAGGTCTGGTGGGAGAGGAACCAGGAACGAATTCCTACTGCTGGCAGGGTGTACCAAGAGGCAGAGCAGCTCATTTTCACCAGTACCACTGAGGCGGATGCAGGGACCTACACATGCCATGCTGCCAACAAGGCTGGAGAGAAGAAACAGGAGCTGAACATCACTGTGGCTAGTAGGCAGCTTTCCGAGAAGGGCTGGGAGCAGAGAAGGGGGCTGGATAGGGGATTGGGGTGGGCTGGTGCATTACCTTGCTGATACAGAGAGGCACATCTCTCATGGCTGGGCTGCAGGGCCCCACGGCTGGCTGCACACTGCCTGTCTGGTCTGCACTGGTGCTGGCCAGAGGGGTGGTGAGCGGCCCTGCATAACCCCTTGCCTCTGTGCCCAGCGATACCCAAGTGGGTGGAGATGCCCAAGGACAGCCAGCTGGAGGAGAGCAAGCCGGGATACCTGCACTGCCTCAGCAAGGCCTCCCTGAAACCCACTGTCACGTGGTACCGCAACGGCGTCTCCATCTCTGAGGTGAGGCAATGGGGCAAGCCCCTGCCACTCACGGGTACTTCTGCCAGGTACCTGCTCAGCTCCTTCCTCTGCTGCTGCTGTTTCTCGCCCTGTTCCTATGCCCAGCATCCCTGTCACCCCCACTCTGGCCGTGTTCCTGGCACCATCTCCATCCTACTGGTGTATGGGTGTACAGTTGTCTCTAGCCATTTGTCTGGCAGCCAGCCCTGTGCTTTTGGGGCAGTGACAAGGGAGATGTCCCTCAGAGAGATGTCACTGCAGCTTGCCTCAGTTCTCCACGTGGGTCTCAGCAGGGCTGTCTCTATCTGAGGCATGGTGTGGGTGTGTGGAGTGCCAGGAGTGCCACAACCAAGGTCTGAGCCCAGGGCTGGTGACAGTGTCATTTCTGCCCCGCTCTCTCCCTCCCTCTGGGCAGGACTCACGGTTTGAGATCTCTGAGAATGGGACACTGCGCATCAACAACGTGGAGGTATATGATGGGACCACGTACAAGTGCGTGAGCAGCACGCCAGCAGGCAGCATCGAGGGATACGCACGGGTGCACGTGCTAGGTATGCTGACAAGCACTCCACATCCTCCCCTTGTGGGGAGCTCTTTTGCTTGGCAGGGTGCAGGCATGATACCCCCAGCTCCGGTGCCTCCAGCTGGGGGGGACCTAACAGTACATCTGTCCCTTGCAGAGAAGCTGAAGTTCACCCCGCCACCCCAGCCGCTGCAGTGCATGGAGTTTGATAAGGAGGTTACAGTGTCCTGCTCAGCCACAGGTCGGGAAAAACCCACCATCCAGTGGACTAAAACAGGTAAGGGGGACTTGGATGCAATATGTCTGTTTCTCACCTGGGGTCCCAGGAACGAAGCAGCGGTGCTGCGGCTGCCTGGGAAGCTGCCGTGTGGCACAGTGCTTCATGCGTGACTGCTGCATCCCTGTTCTTGCGTCCTGCAGATGGGAGCAGCCTGCCATCCCACGTCAGCCACAATGCCGGCATCTTGTCCTTCCACAAGGTGAGCAGGAGCGACTCAGGGAATTACACGTGCATCGCCTCCAACAGCCCGCAGGGCGAGATCCGTGCCACTGTGCAGCTCGTGGTAGCAGGTGAGGGCTCTGCGGCAGGCGGGTGGGTTTCCTGCTGTGCTGGCCTTGCAGTAGGTTTGCCTGGGTGGCACCCAACTGGCATGCCTCTGCAGAGAGAGGAATGTCTGGCCTGACCCCGAGCTCTGTCCCGTGGCACTTGAGTGTCTGGTTTGTCAGCGCTGTGCATACAGCCTGAGAGGGCATGTGCCACTGTGCCAGTGCTGGCCCTGCTCCCTTTTGGGAGGTCAGCACCGTTCCCAGGAGCTGACAGCGTTCGTGTCGGCCTCTCTGCCTTCAGTTTACGTCACCTTCAAGCTAGAGCCAGAGCCCACAACGGTGTACCAGGGGCACACAGCCATGTTCCAGTGCCAGGCAGAGGGGGACCCCGTGCCGCACATCCAGTGGAAAGGGAAGGACAAGATTTTGGATCCCGGCAAGCTCGTGCCCAGGTACACAGCCTACATTCCAAACTGAAATGTAGTGCAGCATGGTGCTGTGCCTACTCAGCGTGCGGCTGCCAATGGTGTGGTCTCGGGTTCCCAGCTTGGGGGGAACACAGTCACTTGTCTCCGTGTCCCAGTGCCTGGACTCTTCTGGCCCCAGGGTTACCCTTTCTGCCTGCCAAGCTGCAGCTGATCTGCAACCGTTTGTTCTTGAGCGTTGCACAGCCTGAGATTCAAGATGGTTGCACTGGGGACAAGGGGCTGAGGCTGAGGCATCCTGGGGAGACGGGGCTGCGGGTGCCCCAAGCCTGCCTCTGCCCTCCGGTGCTTGCAAAGGTCTCTGTGTGGTTGGCAGGATTCAGATCATGCCCAATGGCTCCCTGGTGATTTACGACGTCACCACCGAGGACTCTGGAAAATACACCTGTATCGCCGGCAACAGCTGCAACATCAAGCACCGCGAGGCCTTCCTATACGTCGTAGGTAAGGGAGATGCCCAGCGTTGGGATCTGACCTCCTGGTATCCCCAGCAGCTCTAGACCTTGCTTCTGGCCCCACTGGTGGGTGCTGCATGTGAAGTCATGCCTGCTAGGGAGTCACGGCAGCCATCCCTATTGGGATGCAGTGCAGTGTGCTGTGCCCAGCATTCTGTGACTGGACAAGGAGGTGGCCACAGCTGCAGGGGGTCTTTTCTCATTCCTCTAGCACATTCCCAAGCAGGATTTGGGAAATCCCTCTGCACCCTCATGAGTTCGGTGTTCTCTGCCCCACAGACAAGCCGGCAGCAGAAGAGGATGAGGGACCTGGCAGCCACACACCCTACAAGATGATCCAGACCATTGGGCTTTCAGTGGGGGCAGCTGTTGCCTACATTATTATCGTGCTGGGGCTGATGTTCTACTGTAAGAAGCGGAGAAAAGCAAAGAGGCTGAAGAAGCACCCGGAGGGCGAGGAGCCCGAAATGGAGTGTCTGAATGGTGAGGCTGGCACCCCTCAGGGTGAGGGCTTCACTGCCAGCCCCCTACCCCTGGTCTGGAGGGGCTGAGGGGCAGGGAGCTCCCAGGGAACAGGGGATGACTCCTTACCTTTGGAGTCTTTCACTCTTGGTTCTGGCTATGGCTGGTGGCAGAGACCTGCTGCCTGGTGAGAAATAGGCAAGTTAGTGTGAAACCTGCATCCCAGCCCCATGTCGTGGCCACCTCTGCTGAGTTATGTGTCGCTCCTGCTTTCCAGCACCTGTACATGGCATCACGTACACCCTTTGCTAAGGGGAGGGGAGTATCCCTATTGCAATGTAATGAAATAGTAGTACTCTGCCGGCTTGTTCAGATCACAGTTCAGCAGCTCCTGGTGCTAGAGGGAAGACTTTTCACTGAACAGCCCTGAACTCTGCTGTGAACTCACCCTGTTATCTCTGAAACCCATATAAGCTCTGAGCATCTACAGCATCCTCCAACAAGGACTTCTGGAGCATAACAGGTTATCTAAAAACTATCTCTTTGCTTTTCAAGCTTGTCACCTGTCGGCTCTGCACTGGAAGACGCAGCTCTTCTGTATGTCTGATCGTTCCTGCGAGTGCCTTTTCTGGTTGCACTATTGCCTTTCTGAGATGGGGAGCCCCAGACAGGACTTGGTGCACGCAGCTTTGCAGAGTGACACAGCTGTGCTGTGTCCTGTTCCCAGCTGTGCCACTGGCTTCAGTTCCCTGTCCACAGAGCTCGCTCTGGAGAGAGAGCAGGCAGCTCAGGGCTGTGGATGGGACGTCGGGGTTGCTTTCCCCAGGCCTCATGTATCTCTGGCTGCACCTCCCAGTGCTCCGTGTCCCTCTACAGCTGGCCACAGCTGGCCTGTACCTTTGCTGCTAGCTAAGCTGGCAGTTTTGGCAAACAGCAGCACCCCTTCTATGTTGGCAGCATGTTGTACTACCCGGGTTCCTACCTTCTGTGTGTCCATTGGAGGATGTTCCCTTCTATCCTGTGCAGCTGAGCTGCTTTTTAACAGCTGTTTCCATGAGACCCTCAAATAGACTAAACGGGGTCCCCATTGTGCATGAGCTACGTGATTCCTTCAGAGATCTCTGGGAGCATCATTTTCATTTCCAAAAGCTGTTTCAACTCTTTCTCCTGATGTTGTGGTTGTCCTTGCATCACCGATACCAGGGAGGACTTGTAAGCGATGGGGTGCAGTTGAGTTTGCTGCCCTTATAATTCCCTGAATCTCCCCCCACCCCACTGTAAATGCAGACATCGTGCTTCCCCCTCCCAGTTCTCCAGCACACAGCCACATCCTGATCATGTTGGGGTTGCTGTGAAGTCCTGGCAAAACATCACCGCTGGGTTTGTCTCCTGTTTTTCCTCTTGCATTGGTACTTTGAACAGAGCCAGACCTCCAGAAAAGTCTGGCTGTGGGGAACCTTCTGGGAGCAGGGATGCAGGAGCATCTCTGCAGCTTTGTGCTCTGCTGCTGTCACCACTGTGAGCTCTTCCTGTGGACAAGTCGCAGGCAGCTCACCTGTGCCAACAGGCTCTGGCCAGCATCCTCTTCCTGGGAAAGGATTTGTTTTGATCTTTTTTGAGGTGGTCTCAGATTTTTATTTTGGCCTATCTTTATTATATTTTTCTTTTTATTCTGCCAGAGTTTGCCTCCTCTTATCCCCTTCATTTGGAACCAGTTTTAGCTGTCAGAGCGATGCATCCTCACTGCTACAAGCAGACCCAGCTGCCCAGATGTCTACACTCCTTTTTGGTACTTCCATAGCCTCTCTGGAGAAGTGGTTTGTGTTTGCTGTCAGCTCCAGTGGAGTCACCCCCTTCACCATGGTCTTCAAAGATTTGGCTCTTCCTCCTTTTGATGTGGTCCCTCTTTAGCTGGGTGACCTGAAGTATCTCAGCACCTACAAGTACTCCCTGGCTGGCCACCAGCTGACTTTGCCAGTGCCCTCAGGATCCAGACAGATTTGACCTTCCTGTGGATTTGCAGTGGATCCTTCCTATGGATTTCCTGTGGATCAATGCACTCCTAACAAGTCAGTCACCTTCCAAGGTCACGTCCTTGGTATGCCACACCCTCTGTAACAAGGGTGCTTGCTCTCAGTGTCCCTCTGTCTGACTGTGCTGCTTTTTTGGGGTGAACACAGACATAGCATTTGGGGAGGTTAACGGCTGTGGGGACTGAGGGGAGCATTTGATTTCTGTGTTGGCATGTGCTAATTTCTCCAGGCTAGCATGGCTGTGTCTCTTTCTCCAGGAGATGCTCAGGTGTTACAGGCAGGTGGGCAAAGCAGGCAGCTCCTCTACACTTGGTTCCCCTCTGGACTGCTGGATACATAAATTAAACTTCCTGTTCGTTTTTGTGGTCCCTTTGTTAGCAACTATCCTGTCAAAGCTCTGTGAAACATGGGGATGTCTGTTCTCGAAAGTGTCTGTCGTTGCTGCCCGCTGATGCTGTCTCTCAGTGGCAGCATACTCACTCTGCAGCCTTCGGTATTTTCTTGGCACAGTTGCAGCAGTCGTCTAGTATTATCCTCTTGGCTTCAAGCTTGTAGTCTTGAGACACTATCAGTCATGAGTGCAGACAGCACAGGGTCAAACAATCTTGCTAATAATTAGCATAAAACCATGGAGAGCATAAGTAGCATCGAGCTTTGATTTATAGGGTAGATGGTGCTTTTTCGCTATGGTCTTCTGCAGATGTTACTCCAGCATGTGAGAGAGGACAGCTGCCAGTAGCCATGGCTCTTAAACCAACACATCTCAGTCTTTACAGCTCCAAGCCTACCTGTGACAAAGCCACGGTCCCTGTCATCCGTGGCCAGACCTGCTCAGGATGTCCTGGTGGGCTGGTACCTCTCTTGTACGCATGCATTGTAAGCATGCACATACACACGCTGCTGTATAATACCCCTTGATGGAAGTTATGGGCAGTGGGATTCCTGTCGGAGTTACCTCATGTTGGATCAAGTCTTTAATTTTGTGATTAAATCCTTTTGCATGGCCAGGTGTTTCCTTAATGCTTGCTCCTGGACTAGCTGAAATGGAGTGTGCACAGTAATGCAGGGTGATGCTGCACACGTCAGCCACATTAGCTCGGTGCTGTGCCCCTCTTTACATTCAAACTCCTGCCTTCAGCTTATGGAAAGTACCGCTTCCTAGTGCCAAGTCTGATCCAAGCAGTAAATGCGTTCAAAATCAAGGTTTGCTATCTATACAGCTATCTATACAGTCTTTCCCCTACAAGCTGCCTATAAAATGCAGGGTTCTCTGATATCTTAAGGCACTTATGTTTTGTCCTGTTCACTGGCTTCTGTTTGTGCCAGGGAAATTTCTAGTGGAGCTCCTGAGCAGAAAGCTTGATGGGGTTGATTGCAAGGACAGTGCTTCCTAGCACTGCTTTAACCCAGGCAATAAAAGAAACTCCAGGTTGATCTGGTCTGACAGGTTCAAGATTATCAAGGACATGAGCATTGCTGGCTTGCTGGGAAGTGAGCAGGAACAGGGGGGGTCAGGCTGCAGCAGCTGATGCCAGACAGACTTGAGAGTCTCTTGGGCATCAAGAGGCTGTGGTTACAGTGAGCAGGGTCCTCTCTGCTCTACCTCTGCCTCACACATCCAGTCTCCTGCTGCTGTTCTGCAGAGTTCTGTCAATGGTAGTTTGGATGTAGCCACCCCTTTGGGATGACTGAGTGGCATGGGATGGACAAGGCCAGATGGGGCTGGTTGGCTCTGGGACCAAAGCAATTGCTCAGCATCTGATTTCAAGGGTGGCTGCAGGGCTGCTGGAGGTGGGGCCGGACGTGAGCCCGGAGGGAACAACTGTGTGGAGGCCACTGTTGCTAGACATCAAGCTGGGGTGCTTGGAGCCAGGCTGTGGGTGCTTGGAGTGTCAGCCCCAGAAGGGGCTGACCCCCAGCATAACATTCTCTGCACAGCCTGGCAGGATGCTGGAGCCATTTCTGCTTCCCTTGCAGGTGGTGCTTTGCTGCAGAATGGGCAGATGACAGCAGAGATCCAGGAAGAAGTGGCCTTGACCAACCTGGGCAGCAGCTCTGGGGCCAGCAAGCGGCACAGTGCTGCTGACAAGATGCACTTTCCTCGTTCCAACCTGCAGACAATCACAACCCTGGGTATGCTGGGCCACCCTGGCCCTGACCCCACTCCAGCAGGAAACCTGTGGCTGAAACCCTAGCATGTCTTAGCCAGAAAACTGGATGTGCAGGGGTACAGAGGGCCTGTACCTAACATATGCTAGGTACATATACTGTACCTAATGTATGCTAACATATGCTAACATATGCTGTCTTCCCATGTGCTGCTCTACACTTCCAGGCAGGGGGGAGTTTGGTGAAGTGTTCCTGGCCAAGGCAAAAGGTGCAGAGGATGGCGAGGGTGAAGCACTGGTCCTGGTGAAGAGCCTGCAGACGAGGGATGAGCAGCTGCAGCTGGACTTCCGGCGAGAGGCAGAGATGTTTGGCAAGCTGAACCACTCCAACGTGGTGCGGCTGCTGGGGCTGTGCCGCGAGGCAGAGCCGCACTACATGGTCCTGGAGTATGTGGACTTGGTAAGGGCCCTGCCTGCAGTGAGGAGGAGGAGGAGGAGGGGTGGACAACGGGCATGGGGCTTGCAAGTGTGACATGGTCCAGACTGGCAGCACAGGGCAAGCAAGGGAGACCAGGCTGAGCTTACCACTGTTCCCAACGTGTGGAGGAGTCTCAAGGGGAATGGGGGTCTCCTGCAAGACCTGGAGTGACTTTGTCGTCTTCCACATCCTGATTTCTGGTTTATGTCCAGGATGCAGCTGAATTAAGTTAAGCTGTGGGACTCCGTGCTGCATAGTGGCTGTGAATGCTAAGGGCTACTATGGGGAGCCTGGAGTTCATTGGAGAGAAACCAATTTGGGGCATGGAAAACCTCCTGGAAACATCAGGCCTGGCTGCCCTGATCTTAGCCAGTTGAGGCCCAGAAGTGAGATACTGGCTTGCCCTACAGGGCAGGGACCAGGAGGACAGGCAGGGACTGTGGCCCAGGAGATGAGGATCCATGGGGCTCCCAGTAGGCCT